TTCTTATGGTTGTGTTTCAGCAAGCAGGAAAGAGGAAAAGGAGAGCAAAGGGAAGGAGAATAATAAAGATTAGAGCAGAAATAAATGATATAGAAGCTAGGAAAACAGTAGGACAGATCAATGAATCCAGGAGCTAGTTCTTTGCAAAAATTAATAAAATTGAGAAACCTTAGCCAGACTTATCAAAAAGAAAAGAGAAAGGACCCAAATAAAATCACAAATGAGAGAGGAGAAATAACCAACACCACAGAAATACAAACAATTGTAAGAGAATATTATGAAAAATTGTATGCCAACAAATTGGACAACTTGGAAGAAATGGACAAATTCCTAGAAACATATAAACTACCAAAACTGAAACAGGAAGAAATAGAAAACTTGAACAGACCATAACCAGCAAAGAAATTGAAATAGTAATCAAAAATCTCCCAACAAACAGAAGTCCAGGACCAGATGGCTTCCCAGGGGAATTCTACCAAACATATAAAAGAAATTTAATACCTATTCTTTTCAAACTATTCCGAAAAATAGAAATGGAAAGAAAACTTCCAAAATCAGAATATTCTATGAGGCCAGCATTACCCTGATACCAAGACCAGACAAAGACTCCACTAAGAAAGAGAACTACAGGTCAATAGACCTGATGAACATGGATGCAGAAATTCTCAATAAAATACTAGCAAATAGAATCCAACCGTACATTGAAAGAATCATTCACCACAATCAAGTGGAATTTATTCTTGGACTGCAGGGGCAGTTCAATATTCACAAATCAACCAATGTGATACACCATATTAATAAAAGAAAGGATAAGAACCGTATGATCCTTTCAAAAGATGCAGAAAAAGCATTTGACAAAATACAACATCCATTCATGATAAAAAAAATCAACAAAGTAGGGTTAGAGGGAACAAACCTCAACATTATAAAGGCCATATACGAAAAACCTACAGCTAATATCCTCAGTGGGGAAAAACTGAGATATTTTCCTTTATGGTCAGAACAAGACAGGGATGTCCACTCTCACCCCTGTTATTTAACATAGTACTGGAAGCCCTAGCCTCAGCAATCAGACAACAAAAGAAATAAAAGGCATCCCAATTGGCAAGGAAGAAGTCAAGCTTTCACTATTTGCAGATGACATGATACTCTATACAGAAAATCCAAAAGACCCCACCAAAAAAACTGCTAGAACTGATACACGAATTCAGTAAAGTCTCAGGATACAAAATCAATATACAGAAATCTGTTGCATTTCTATATACCAATAATGAAACAGCAGAAAGAGAAGTCAAGGAATCAATCCCATTTACAGTTGCAGCAAAACCCATAAGATACCTAAGAATAAACCTAACTAAAGAGGTAAAATGTATGTACTCTGAAAACTTTAAAACACTGAAGAAAGAAATTGAAAATGACACAAAGAAATGGAAAGATATTCCATGCTCATGGACTGTAAGAACAAAAACTTTTTTTAAAAGATTTTATTTATTTATTTGAGAGAGAGAGTGAGAGAGAGAGAGCACAAGTGGGGTGAGGGGCAGAGGCAGAAGCAGATTCCCCACTGAGCGAGGAGCCTGATGCAGGGCTCGATCCTGGGACACCAGCATCATGACCTGAGCTGAAGGCAGACGCTTAACCAACTGAGCCACCCAGGCACCCTGGAAGAACAAATATTGTTAAAATGTCTATATTACCCAAAGCAATCTACACATTGAATGCAATCCTTATCAAAATACCACCAGCATTTTTCACAGAGCTAGAACAAACCATCTTAAAATTTGTATAGAACCGCAAATAGCCAAAGCAATCTTGAAAAAGAAAAACAAAGTTGGAGGTAAAGTGGGAGAGCTAGGTTCTTGTCTCACGGAATCGAAGAATGAATCTCACAGACAAAAGAAGTGAGTAAAGCAATAGAATTTCATTAAGGATACAGAAAAAGCTCTCAGGAGTGAGAGGAATCCCAACAGGGTTGCCACTGAGGGCTTTTAGGGTTGGTCTTTTATAGAAAGCTAACCAAGGAACTTAAATCTTTTTGACTTCTCTACTGGCGGCACTATTGATTAAGGACTAGTGATAACATCTTTAATGGCTTACTTCTTTTTAGGGTCTGGTTATTTTCTGTTGACCACAGGAGACTGTCATAAATAAGACTTCCCCTTTGAACACCTAGGGCAGGGTATCCTGGAGTGTTCCCTTATCTCTGGTTTCCTTATACCTCCACATTTTTGGAATTTCTGTGAGCCTGATTGCATAGCCCCCTTACCTATTTCTCCCTACCTAGCCCCACCTGTCCCTTTCTCAGAGGCATCACCTTTCTGAACTTCAAGTTGTATTACAAAGCTGTAGTGATTAAGACAGTATGGTACTTGCACAGATCAATGGAACAGCATAGAAAACCCAGAAATGAACCCATAAATATATGGGCAATTAATCCTCGACAAAGCGGGAAAGAATATCCAATGGAAAAAGACAGTCTCTTCAATAAATGGTGTTGTGGAAACTGGACAGCAACATGCAAAAGAATGGACTGGACCACTTTCTTATACCATACACAAAAATAAATTCAAAATGGATTAAAGACTGGGGTGCCCGGATTGAGCATCCGACTCTTGATCTCAGCTTGGGTCTTGCTCTCGAGGTTGTGAGTTTGGGCCCTGAGTTGGGCCCCAAGCTGGGCATGGAGCCTACTTAAAAAAAAAAAAAATGGATTAAAGACCTAAATGTCAGATAAGAAACCATCAAAATCCTGGAGGAGAACACAGGGAGTAACCTCTTTGACATTGACCATAGCAGCTTCTTACTAGATATGTTTCCCGAGGCAATGGAAACAAAAGCAAAAATGAACTATTGGGACTTCATCAAGATAAAAAAAAAAAAACAAACCCTCTGCACAGTGAAGGAAACAATCAACAAAACTAAAAGGCAACCTTCGGAATGGGAGAAGATATTTGCAAATGACATATCTGAGAAAGGATTAGGATCCAAAATATATAAAGAACTCATAACTGAACACCCAAAAAAACAAAGAATCCAGTTAAGAAATAGGCTGAAGACATGAATAGACATTTTTCCAAAGACAACCAGATAGCTAACAGACACAGGAACATCACTCATCATCAGATAAATACAAATCAAAACTACAATGAGATATCTCCTCACAGCAGTCAGAATGGGTAAAATTAACACAGGAAACAACAGGTTTTGGTGAAGATGTGGAGAAAGATGAACCCTCTTGCATTGCTGGTGGGAATGCAAAATGGTGTAGCCACTCTAGAGAACAGTATGGAGGTCCTCAAAAAGTTAAAAATAGAGATACCCTATGATCCAGCAATTGCACTACTAAGTATTTACCCAAAGGATACAAAAATACAGATTCAAAGGGACACATGCACCCTGGTGTTTATAGCAGCATTATCAACAATAGCCAAATTATGGAAAGAGCCCAAAGGTCCATCAACTGATGAATGGATAAAGAAGATGTGATATATATATATATATATATGGATATACAGTAATAAAATATACATATATATATATACCCAATGGAATATTAGCCATAAAAAATGAAATCTTGCCATTTGCAAGGATGTGGATGGAGTTAGTATTATGCTAAGCAAAATAAGTCAGTCAGAGAAAGAGGAATACCATATGATTTCACTTATATGTGGAATTTAAGAAACAAAACAGATGAACAATGGGGGGGGAGCAAACCATAAAACAAACTCTTGACTATAAAGAACAAACTGAGGATTGCTGGAGAGGAGATGGGGGGAGGGTTAAATGGATGATGGGGATTAAGGAGGGCACTTGTGATGAGCACCAGGTGTTTTATGTAAATGATGAATCACTAAATTCTCCTGAAATTAATATTACACTGTATGTTAACTAACTGGAATTTAAATAAAAACTTGAAATAAATAAATAAGTGTGTCAGTCTTCAGATTCTTTTAGGGGGTATATGAAAAGAAATTTTTGAAGGCTACTAGCCTATATGTATTGTCTCATTTGTTCTCATTTCTTTTTTGAGTAGGTTTCTTATCTTCCCATCTAAATTATAAATTATCTTTGTGTAAGAATTACATCCTATTTTTTGTGTTTTTCCCAGAAATTCAGGGAGAGGAGCATGTTAGCAAAGTAAGGAGCTGTGGAATTGAGTGGGGCAGGTGTTGACTTAAGTACGCTGGCAGTATTGCAGCTCATGCTCATGTATTTTATGTGTATTTTGCATATATTGCTCAGTTCTGCTCTTTGTCAGGGTGGTTTCCTCATCCCAAATATAATTCCTCCCCACCCAACCCCCATCTGCTATTGATGCTTAGAATTCAAATAGTGTCACATATTTTCATTCCACATTTATTCAAAATGTATATATCCTTAGGAGAGGTAACATTGATATAGAATCAGATTAGATTAATTACTTCCTGGTAGCAACTTTTTATAAAGGGAGGTGAGATAGAACCAAGAGGTTTACGTGTTGGATCCTTGAGCTGACTGCAGACTAAGCCAAGCATCTCTTCTTTACTGAAGTGATCCTGAGGAGTAGAGTGGGTAGGACCTTATCAGTTCTGAAATGATCAACCACATCAAAATCCTCATTTCTGGGAAGTAGAGAGGCTTCCAGTACCTAAACTGACTAAGAAATGAAGATAATATTTAAGAGTGACCCTGCTAGGCCTCCAGTTTGCAGACCACCTCAAAGTAAAACTCAGCAGTCACAACTGGACTTCCCTTTGGGTGAGTGAATGAGTTCAAACACTTCCTTTCCTGTTTCTGGTAAGTCCACATAACCAAAGCCCTTTGGCTGCAAATTTTCTTTCTCCTGGTATAGGGAAGATTTTAGTGCAGTGCCTAGAGCATAGTAGGCATCGAGTAGATGTTGGTCAAATAAATCTTCAGGAAGGGAAGGGACCCCCGAGGAGTAATTGATAATGAAGTTAGACTGTCCATTAATCTGGAACCCGGGTCACTAAAGATCTTTGGTTCATTTTTCTCTGCAGCAAGTGAAAGGGAACTTTGCTAGGCTGCAGGCCTGCATCTCAGAACTCCGCATGTTCCAGAGAGAAGGCTGTTTCAGACCACCCGGCCTTTGTCTGCACCTGGCAGTACAGGATGGGCTCCAGCAGTTCAAACAGTACAGCAGACACGTGACCACAGGCGCTTCTCTGAGCTACACTTCCCTGGAGGTAAGAGATACTGGTCTTAGGACTCTAAGCCCATTTCAGGCCATCTAGATGCTTCATTATTTATCACCCTTATATTGTTCTTTGTTTCATACACTTTGATGGTAATTTTCAAGGCTAGATTTTCATCTCCCTGCCGGCAAGAGATATGTTCCCTTTTTCCTATAGCCTGTGCAATTCTTAATACAGAGCTGGCATAGAGAGAAATGCTAAAAATATGGGCTGAAGTGAATTATAATGAAAAACTGAAATCAAAATAAAGTCTGAATATGCCATCTGCCTCTGGATTTTTGGAACTTGTAAAGTAATTGTTAAACTGCCTAGATTAGTGCTGTATTTATATTTCTTGGGCAGGAATTTACATTTGTTCTTAATCAAATCTTGGTATCAAATTGAGTAAATTTTCTTGGACTCAGCAAATGTGCAGATTTAAAGATGGCTAAAATTTTAGTGATCAAGACAATCTTAAAAAATATAAGTAAGTCATGTCTGGGTACTCCACTGGGTGCATGAGTGACTGAGTTAAAACACATTCAACTGCGTGCATCAAACAGATGCATTTTTAAAAATAACTGTGCTTTTATCTGCATCCTTCTTCATTAATCAAAAATGTCCAAGCATTGGGGCACTTGGGTGGCTCAGTCAGTTAAGTGTCTGACTCCTGATTTCAGCTCAGGTCATGATCTCAGGATTGTGAGATCAAACCCTGTGTCGGGCTCCATGCTGGTGGTGGAGCCTGTTTAAGATTCTTTCTCCGTCTCCCTTTGCACCCCCCCTCCATGTGCACACACATGCTCCCTCACTCTTTCTCTCTCAAAAAGAAAAAAAAATTCCAAGCACCAAAAAAAATGTCCAAGTACAAAAAAGAATTGCATATATTTAATATTTGCCTTCCAGATTTTCAGATGCAAGACAAAACTACTAATGAAAACATACAGCATATTCATTCAGGTGAAATAAAATATTCAGATTATACACAAACACCTCAATATTCTTTCAGGTTAGATATATTGGTCAAGAGTGAGTACATTTTAGAGTTAAGAAAGCAAAAGAAACAGCTCACCTGTATCCAGGTTGAACAAGGAGAGAAATCTATGTGGAAGTACCACTATGAGAAAAAAGCACAGAGGCCCTCTGATATTTAGTACACACTTAGTGGAATTTAAGGATTCTGTTTCCTTTGTTGCCTTGTAAAATCAAAGTATTTTGAGCATGAGAGATGCTATCAGTGCTTCAAGCAATCTTAAAAAACTAAAACACAGGGATGTTTTCTCACTGGTCACTTTCTGGGGTAGGCCTCACCTGTTTGGAAGGGTCCTGTGATGATTTATCCCACCAGATCTCTCCCACCAGAATCTGTCAAATGAAATTTGATTTGTAAGTTACCATGAAATCTTCTTCTTTGCTTCAAAGACAATAGCCACTGCCACAGACTTCTGCTGTGCCTATCCTCCAGATCTAACCTGCTATGTTCTTCACTCTGTACATTAGAGAAAGTAGACACATTGATTCTTGGATTTATTTCCAGATTACTGTTCTGACTTCCCAGCCTGGAAAAGAGGCGGTCAAACAATTGGAGGAAGGATTGAAAGATACGGACCTAGTCAGGGTCAGGAGACTTCAGGTGGTTGAGATCACAAAGGGAGTCCTAGAGTATATGGACTCAGTGTCCCCAGCTGAAGAGCCTAGCAGTGATGGTAAGAATTAAAGGAAAAGGTAAAAAGAATTTTAATGAGTAGTCAAAAAGATTATTTTCCATGGTCTTTTTGTTCTTCAATGAAATGAAGCCAACAGATTTTACTACAGTTCAGACAGGTGTTTCTAAGTGTATATATAGGCCTAATATATATTAAATATATATTTACTATTTTAATGGGATCATGACATACATAATATTCTATAACCATCTTTGTGCATTGGACAGCTATCTGTGTTAGTATCTATAGATCTGTCTTATTTTTTACTGGCTACATGATTTTCTTACTGTGTGGTTTGGACCATAGTTTGTTTAATCACTTATTAATGAACAATTTGGTTTATTACCCTTTGCTATTATAACCAATGCTGAATAAACAGACTTATATACAGGGCTGGTTTCATGGACTTATGACCAGTATAGTCACACAGGGCCCGGCATTCAGAAACACCCTATGCTTGGGATTTAATGCTCTTTGGAGCTTTGCACAGTGGCAGTATCATAGCCAATGAGGTTTATCCAAGGCGCGATTATTGCTAATGCTCTTTGGTTGCTCTCTTGAAATTCTTAATAATTTTATCTTTGAATTTATATTTTATAAGTGAAGTTTTATGGAACAATGGAGTGTGTACCAGGGGATTAGAGTCTTAGCTCACACACGCCCTGTCTCCTGTGTCCTTCCCACCTCCCCATAATGGGGTTCTTAGTTGCTAGCTTCCCAGCTCTGGTATCCCCAACCTGCCTACCCCAACCCGGCAACCACTCATGCCCAGGTCCCTACCAATAAATCCTACATAAATCACTAATAATTCTAAATTTCCTAGAACAGAAAATATTCGAACTGAGTCTTAAAGAACATATAGGAATTAGTCATGTAGAGGAAGAAGAAAAGAGCACTCAAAAAGGAGACGTGGGAGCATGAGAAAGCAAGATTAATCAACTTTCAGGAAGTGCCCATGGTTCCCTATGACTAGAGCCGGTCAGGCAGAAGCAGAAGTAAGTCTATAAAGGTAGGCAAGGATTTGATCAAGAAAGGCCATATATGCCGTTCTAAGACATTTAGATTTCATTCTAAGGCAGTGGAAATTTATGAAAAGATTTTGGTCAGAAAGTTAAGGAGAGATTCCCAAATTACGGAGTTTAAGAGATTTTTAACCAGTTTTAATTTATCCAACACTCAAGTTATTGTTCACCCTTCAGCGGTCCTTTCTGGATGTATTGGCCCTCTCCAAGGTTGTGCACATGGGAGGAGCCCCTGTTCTGATACCATTGATCTCTTCCTGGTCACACTTGGATAACCCACTAATTAGGTGAGAGAGTTAGAAACTAAGGGTGTGTTTCTCCTCAAATCCTGAGACATGGATCCTTCCAGCATCATGAGGCCACTGACATTGTTCTGGTCCAGGAGGGAGGATAACCAGCCTTAGCTATGTTGTTTATGAGCTCTCACCCACTTGGCACACTCTGCTTTTCTCAAGCCATTCTCAAGAAAGACATTTCTGAATGTCTTTCTTTCTCTCTCCATCTCTTCACTTAAAGCTGTCTTTTCCTTTGAATTCCTTCTTCTTTCCTCTGAGTTCTTTCCCTTATCCTCTTCCAGCCAAATACTCCCCATCCCTTAAGGCCTAATTCATGTTCCTGATTACTATGTTGATTTTCCTCTCCTTAGAACAACAATATCACTTGTGGTCTGTACCAAACAATTTGGCACTTGATTATATGCCATGGAAAATTGTTCACCATTGTTTGTGTGATATTTTTGTCTTCTCATCAAATCTGTAAACTACTTGATATCTTTTCTTTCTGAATTAAATTCTAAGTGCCTTGGGATTAGGAATTTGTCTTTATTATTTCTGTGTCCCAGTGTGTAGAATATCCTAGATTACAGGAGATATTTGTTGAACAAATTGATAAAAGTGATACCTGTGGAGACAGTTCTTGGTCTGCCCAGCATCCCCTGAATCCCCATTCTCTAGTAACACCTCACCTTCCTGGTCAAAGAGTGGGCCATGACCCAGGTGAGGCCGTCATAATTCCTCAGGCCACCAGAGTCCTCCCTAGTAGGTTCTCAAACTGAATCTGTGAGAGAGAAGCTCTTTTTCTTTCTGTTTGGCCATGGATATATCAGGCATGGACTATGTCCATTTCTCCCTTCAGTGACTGTATCCAGTAAGAATTTCCTGTATCTCTCGTGGCACAGGGCTCAGAGTACTTGGAGACCACCTGATGCCTTTATTTAGAATATTTGGATAGAAGAGCTTTTACATTCAGGAAGACAGCTTTCTACCTTGTGTCACTGCTGTTGATCTTCCAGTAACCTCCTGTTTGCTTATAAATAATACATCATCCCATAAATTGCTTGTAATTCCTCTTTGTGGTTAAGTATATGTATGGTTCATAGCTTGAATCTTCCCAGTTTGCCTATACTTTCTTCATAATTCTTTTATTCCATTGATGTTTGCCTCATCTTGATGTCCTTAGGAAGAGATTAGCAAAAACAACTTCTCTCATTCTCAAAAAGATGAGTGCTCCAGAATCAAGTTGTCTGAGTCTAAACCCCAGTTCTATCACTTAGTAGCTGTGCAACTTTGAGCAAGATACTTAGTCTGTCTAAGCCTTAGTTGCTAATTCCTGCCCTATGCAGTAGTTGTGTGTATTAAATGAAATGATGTGTGTTAATTAGTACATAATAAATGTTCAGTAAAATCAGCTGATCTTGTTAATATTTCTGAAAATTTTTGCATATGGGTGGTTTAATATTTCTGAGATTTGTTTTTATGGCCAGATCCCAAGTGGACTGTAAGTTACCTGAGGATAAGACTGTGTCTAATGCATCTTTGTATCACCAGCATTTATACCGTTCAGACTGGCACATAGTAGATTCTCAATAAATGTTTCTTTTTTTTTTAAGATTTTATTTATTTACTTAACAGAGAGAGAGCACAAGCAGGGGAAGCAGCAGGCAGAGGGAGAGAGAGAAGCAGGCTCACCGAGCAGGGAGCCCGATGCAGGGCTCGATCCCAGGACTCTGGGATCATGACCTGAGCCGAAGGCAGACGCTTAACAACTGAGTCACCCAGGCGCCCCTCAATAAATGTTTCTTGAAAAATAAGTGAATGATTGGAGAAAACCAAATGATTTGGGAGAGGTGATGGTCACCTTCTCTGACATCAACTCAAATAGGTTCATATGTCAAACACTCATAGCTTCCCTTTGTAACCCATGAATATCATGAATTAATTCAAGCACTTCTTGAATCTATTTATAATTTTCTTTTTAACTCTGGTAACCATGATCATCGATTAAAGGAAAAGTATCTCTATTCCACTTTTAGAGAGACCAGTTACAGGGAAATGTTGATGCAGATTCGTTTAAAAAGTAACTATGAGAGTATGTCCTTCAATCAGTCAAAATTCTGTCCCCTTTAGTGCAGTCCTGCACAGTGAGAACTAATTATAAGGATGACTTGGAGACTGCAAGATCCAGAATCATCAAAATAAAAATGAACTTAGAAATGAAAAAAGTAGACTCACATTTTAGAAGGTTTTTTAACAAAATCTAAAATGAAAAGATTAACTTTATTTTTTTTTAAGGATCTTATTTATTTATTTGACAGAGACACAGCGGGAGAGGGAACACAAGCAGTGGGAGTGGAAGTGGGGGAGAAGCTGGCTTCCCGCGGAGCAGGGAGCCCGATGCGGGGCTCGATCCCAGGACCCTGGGATCATGACCTGAGCTGAAGGCAGACGCTTAATGACT